ATGTGGTGGTGGTGCTGATGCTGATGTGGTGGTGGTGCTGATGCTGACGACGGTGACATAGTGATGATGATGGGGACTGGGGAGATGGCTCAGTTAACAAAGTACTTGATGTGCAAGAGGACCTGATTCAATCCCAGCACCCATGTCAAAAGCTAAGTATGGCGAGTGACATCCCACTGCTGTGAACATGGAGACAGCAGGGCTCACTGGCTGGTCACCCTAACCAAATCAGTAAGACTAGGCCAACGGAGAGACTCTGACCCAAAATATAAGTAAATAAAGAGCACAGTTCAAACGTCCCTGTTCATAGCCACACATACCCTCAAATATCTCAAAAATAGTAATCCTGGTCTTGGTGCCACGTGAGTATGACTTTCCTGGGAATTCACTGATTTTAGACTATTTAAGAACAGGGCAGTTTCAGCTATGGTATTTTTTCAATACTGGGAGGAAATAATGCAGAATACAAATATTCCATAGGAATATTGATAGGAAGGAAACTTGATAGGAAGGATTCCAAGGAAACTTGATAGGAAGATGTGTTTTCTATCTTGTGACACTCTAGGTCAGATTAAAAGTGAATAACAGATTTAATTAGTGTGCCCTGAGGTCTGATGGCCTAGTGAGACGCTGCAGACTCTACATGAATCCATTTCTATTGGAAGGTCAGCGACAAGGGGCAGTCTATAGCGATTCCTGAGATGATTCGAAAGCCCAACCCTCAAGTGTTAGACAATTAGAAACGCAGAGCATGAGAGAAGCCGTGACTCAGTTGGGCAATGAAGGTTGGCGCTAAACTGCCAAATTCCCGTGCAGCACGGGTAGGCTACATCATTTTCAGAAACCTTGAGTTTTTTCAGCTATTTGAAATGAACAGTAACAGTGACAACACAAGGTTTACAGAAGCACAGTGGCAGGGGTTGGTGGCTGTTGGGGAGAAAGAAGTCAGCACCTTGCTATCCTTTCTCCTTCTCCAGGGGCTGCGGCGTGACCTGAGGAAGACCAAGGAGGCCTTCCTTGAAAATTCTACCCTCTCGGATCAGCTGCCACAGCCCGCAGAGCGCAGCACCCCTGGGCTCCACTCTGGACAATGGCACTCCCTCCAGACAGCTGCGTATTTAGAAAAGATGCTGCTGGTGAAATCAAATGAATTTGAGGTTTGTCTTGCTTTTCTGTTGAGTGGTCTTTTGAATCCTCTGAAGCAGTTATACTGTTTGGATGGCACCACAGGGAAACTGTAGAGGGAAGTCACCCCAGACAGAGTCTTGCTTAATCACGTGGGCAAGGGCCCGCTCTTTAGTGACCATCTGTCCTGTATCTAGCATGGTAATTTGACAAGGAGCATGCTTCATACCCTGTTCAGATCTCGGTTATGCGGATTTAGAGTAATTGAGACACAGGTACGGCTGCTGGAAACACAGCCGTCTGTTGGACTCTTCATTCATCTCCCGAGTTGTAGTGTGCGAACTAAGAGAACAGAATGCCCCCTTCCTTCTCAGTGTGGAACTGGTCTACAAGACCGCAAGGCACAGGATGAAGTTCCAGAGCCTTTACAGAGATCTCTGAGGTGATGCTGAGCAGAAATAACTTAAGCTCTCAGCAGCCTGTAAGGTGCTTACTTCCCTCTTATGCACTCACGAAAGTTTCCTAATGAAAATGTCTCTTTATAGATGGTTCTGGCACACTTTAAGGATTTTGCCGACCGGCTGGCATATTCAAAAGATCGCATTATGCACGAGGAAGAAAATTTGAATAAACTTTACCATGAAGAGAAAGAAGAAGTTCCTGACTTGTTCCTGGTATTGGCAATGTGTCTTTCCTAAGGGCTTAGATTTTCCATGGGGCTAAAACATAAGCTAATTACTGCTGCGTGAATCTGCTCACAGCCTGCTATGAGTTCACTTCCGTTACGTCTGCATCCTGATCAACTCCCGAGCATAGTCGTTCTCGTCCCTTTTATCCCTGCTCTATCATACTAAGGTCTCAAACTGCAGAACATGGCGGGACTCTATTTTACTAATAAGTTATTAATATACCTATGTTATTAATATACAGGTACTGTCCATAGATGTTTTTATCTTGAGATCACTATGAACTAACTTCACTGAACCAAAATAGTCAAGGAATTATCTGTTGTAGTTAATTGTTTTTTTTTTTTTTCCTGGTTAGTTTAAAGATCAAATAGAAAATATTCAATTAAAATTGGGCATGTTTCCTTTCTAATTACCTTAGTAAGTTTCATATAAAATGAAGCGACTGAAGAATTCTGGATCCAGTAAGCTCCCAAAGATCAATATTTATGACCTCCATGAGGAGTCGGCAAATGATAGTAGCATGCTATCCAGATCCCAGACCACCGCTCAGTTTTGTAAACAAAATTTTATTTAAGCCCCGCCATCCTTCCGCTTCCACATTCCCCATGAGAGATGCTAGGCTATGAGGACAGGGCTGAAAGGTTGCTTTCCTGACAAGATGGCCCACAAAGCTAAAACCCTGATTGGCTGGCCATCTGCAGAAAAACGTTTTGTTGACCCCGCCCTAGGTTATGATGGCAGAGTTGGGGAGATAGTGGGTATTGTCAAAGGTGTTCACTTAACATACTGTTGACCTGATGCTGACCTAAAGGCTGTCCTGGGGGTAGTTTTTTTAAAATAAAGTTTTGATAAGTCTTTTCTCTTGTGATTTCACACTCGAGGAAAATATGAGTTGACTGGGTCAAATCTGGTTTAAGCACCGCACTTAGCTAGGATCATATTAAGGATGAGATTTCCGCCGGGCGGTGGTGGTGCACACCTTGAATCCCAGCACTTGGGAGGCAGAGGCAGATGGATTTCTGAGTTCGAGGCCAGCCTGGTCTACAGAGTGAGTTCTAGGACAGCCTGGGCTACACAGAGAAACCCTGTCTCGAAAAACCAAAAAAAAAAAAAAAAGGATGAGAGTTCCAGTTGATGTATAGGTATGCTGTATAGCCTGTTTAGGATCAAGCTATTGGCCGATTATATATTATATAGGGCTTGAAGGTCCGGATGTAGACTTTAAAAAGACCACAGCTCATCTCGGTCTTGCATAAAGACAAAATTTAATGTCCCTTCCTGCTTCTTGGTACTGCTCATGTATGCTACTTTCTCATGGCTATGACAAACTCTCTGGCAAAGGCAACTTGAGAAAGGGTTTGGAGACTGGCAAGATGGCTCTACAGCTGGAACCCACATAAACATGGAAGGAGGAGAGTACCAGTTCCATTAAAGTGTCCTCTGACCTCCACGTCGTGCATGCACACACGATAATAATAAGGGTTTTAAAAAGAAAGGGCTATTTTGATTCGTGGTTTTAGGGCCTACAGTCCATCATGGTAGGGAAGGCAACAGGGACGAAGTGTGAGGCAGCTTGACACATTGTAGCACAGTCAGGAAGCAGAGGCAACTCTTGCCATTCAGCTGGCTTGCTTCTCTCTCCTGATTCAGTCTATGCCTCCCAGCTTATAGGGAATACCTATAGGCTATGGAGCCAATTCAGTACCACTCACATTCAAGATGGGTCTTCCCTCCTCAGTTAAATCTCTGAAGACAACTTCACAGCGATTCCTGAGGATGTGACTCTTAGATGATGCTAAATCCTCTCAAAGTTGCCAGCTCAGAGGACCATCATCCCATATGTACATCCCATATGGTATGCCCAAATAGAAACACCATTGAGAAATCTAAGTTTAGGCCCAATTCTGACTAACTAGCTACTTGACTATATGTGAGTTGTACTACTTATTTGGGCCCTATTTCTACTCATCTTTAATGTAAGAAAGCCAATTCATCATCTAGACATTCTATATGTGTTTTTTTTTTTTCCTCACAGAACCATGTGCTGGCACTGACAGCCCAGTCACCTGACATTGAACGTTTGAATGAAGAGAGCCTCAGGCTCCCCCTCAGTGACATAACAATAAAAACATTACAAAATGTGAACCGGCAGTGGATCCGGGCTACGGCCACAGCACTGGACCACTACAGGTCAGAGCATCCTTTCTCTACTGCCGCTTCAGGGAAGGTGGAATTAAGATCATTATTATAAGGCTCAGTTTTGTTTTCAAATCTTTATAGCAAACTTCAGGGAAATGGGCTGAATGAAAAGTTCCTTCATTACTGTGAAAAGTGGATCCAAGTTCTGGAGAAGATACAAGAATCACTTGCAGTGGATGTCGCCCACAGCCTCCCTGCTCTCCTGGAGCAACAGAAAACCTATGAGGTAACCCTGTTCTCTGCACTCCTCAGCCACTTCCCCCGAGGCAGGGCACAGGGAAAGGAGACACTCAAGTGGAACACAGGGAGTGCCTGCCTACCTTAATTGTCATCAGTGATCAAAGGCACTTAGGAATAGCTACTACTGATAGGTTTGTTGTTTTTTCCAATATTATGTTCCTAGATGATATTAATATGATGGTCGAACATGTTTTGCAGTTGGCTTCCGATAACTTGAGAACTAATCATTTCACAGGTCCTCTGAGAGCCTTCCTAGGGAGCACAAGTTCCTGATTCCTGACAATGAAATCTATCAGCTGATAATTTTTATATTTTGGTTCATACACAGATATTAGAAGCAGAAGTCTCTATAAACCAGACAGTTGCTGATGCTTTCGTGGCTCAGTCCTTACAACTCCTGGACACAGCAGAACTAGAGAAGAGGTAAGCCCTGAGGGGGTCTGGAGAGAATGCACTTGGTGGGCAAGCCTTCCAAAGTGAGAGCCTTCGTGTGTGTTTATGGGGTAGCATTTGAGCCCATTGATACAATGAAATGAATTCTAAGCACTCAGGGTAATTGTCTCTTATCTATGCCTTTGTCTGGAGCCGTTGGGCTCTTCCAGCTCTTTGTAAGAGTCATCATAGGTTTTTCTGAACTACAGATCTTAGGGTTCATGCTAGGATCCATTCCTTCTCACTGACACCATGTAAACATTGACTACATCTGTGCCATGCAGTGTCACAGGGGGACTAGCCTTCTGCTTCTACCTTAGGACAGGGTTGTGCCTTATGGCCATAAACATGCTAATGATGCCTTTTCCTGTTGTAAGTGGATGAAGTTGGCAGCACAGAGGATTCTCAAAAGAGCCACCCCCACCCCCACCCCCACCCCGAGTATATTAACTACGTTTTGAGTGATTCTTCTGTGTTATCTCTTCTCTCCATTTTCTCCTGCATGAGGTTTTGTTATTTGAAAATATGATGTAAGGTGCTCTTATCCCAGGCATGAAGCTGTAGCATAGTCACAGAGGAGAAATGTCTCCCCGGGCATTCCCAGTGGAGTCTGTGGGGCAGCAGCATGCAGGCTAGCCTCAGGGAACCACTCCTGTAGCTCGTTGACATGGCCAGAATCCTGAGGTGGCCCAGTTGTTCAAACATTTCTGGTTGAACAGAACCAGTGTCCTGGTTGGTCCATTTACCTACCCTCCCCCTGCTCCCAATCCATAGCTGAGAAATACGAAGCCTGTATCTTCGTAGCCCTCAAGTGATACATGCAGGCCCATCCCAGGGTAATAAGCTATTTTGATTGCTCGTTATGATAAATATGACTTACCCAAAATAAAGGCCTTATTTCTCCCATGAGCAGTAATATCCACCTGTAAAGAACTAGCTGGACAGTTACAATACCGCTTACTCTTGGTTTCACCAGTTATACAAAGTACTTGGTCCAATAATTTGTAACATTACAAAGCACCTGCCCATGTATGGGTTTTTTCCCCATTTATCAGTTTCTAGATTTGCAAGAAGACCTGACATCATATATATTAAGACAGCTCAGCTCTTTTAAGGGAGTGCTCCCCAGGAGTGCTCACCCCCAGCACTGTGCCCCTCACTGAGTTTCAGGCAAACAGGGCTCAGGTTTCATGAAGCTGTTTGTTTCATGTATGTTGTGCATGCAAAGGTCCGTCCATCCTGGCCAGTTCCTTCTTCTGCATGTTTATGTTAAGAATCTCTCACCATGGTTTTTCCTTAGACCAGAATTTGTCTCAGACTTCTCAACACTGTCAGACCAATGGCAGAGGGCTGCCCGGGGTGTTCAGCAGAGGAAATGTGACATCGGTAGGCTGGTGACACAGTGGCGGTTCTTTACCACCTCTGTGGAGGACTTGCTCCGGTTCCTCACTGATACTGGCCACCTGCTGTCTGCAGTAAAGGAACAGCACTGTTACAGTCTTTGCCAAACCAGGCGCCTGATCCACGAACTGAAGGTACGTGTGCACGGGTTGGCCGTGAGAAGCACACGGGATGAGGGAGCTTCAGTGCAAGATGTTTGCTTGACTGACGTTTTATTTGAATTACTTGAATTTATTTTTATTATTTTTAATTACATGTATAAACATGTGCATGTGAGTGTGGGTACCCAAAACAGCCAGGGGTGTTAGGACCCCCCTGGAGCTGGAATTACAGGTGGTGGTGAGCCACCTGATATCTAAGTGCTAAGAACTGAATTCTGGCCCCCCCCCTGAGAGTTAATGTTTTCTGTCCTTACCCGAGTGTGTTCTATGCAGGGGGAGGCCAGCAAGGTATGACCACCCACAACCTGGTCCCTAGTCTTGTACAAGTGTAAAGCTTTGTCTTACTGAGAAATAGAGATACTCTCTCTAGAGTGTGAAAGAAGCATGCTATGCCAATGGATAGGAAGAAGAACGGGATAAGTCTGCGGTGATAGGACTACACCATTCAAACTCTGAGGGTACTGGTGAATGTATAAGGTACCCACAAGGTGTAGTGACAGACAGGAGAGCTACTTGCTCTTCAAGAGCAAACTCAGGCAACTAACTGCATCAGAAGGGTTTAGGGGCCGGCAAGATGGCTCAGAGAGTAAAGGCAATTGTTGCCCAGCCTGAAAACCTGAGTTCAATCTCTGGGACTCATATGATAGAAGAAAATAACTAACTCCCACAAGTTTTCTTCTGACGTCCAGATATGCACTGTGTAGCAGATGCACCCCACCCCGACATACATTCTATAAGTAAATCAACATATAAAAAATTAAAGGAAAGCTGCTTTGTGAGCATAGGATTACAGTAAATTATTGAATGCATTCCCTCAGAGGATCAATCTCCACTAGAGACACAGACAGTTGTCGTATCACTGCCTGAAATGCTCCGCTGGCCTGTCTCACTTACCCAGTCATCAGATATTGACCAAGCACCCTCTCTGTCCTGGTGTCTGTCCTCATCACAGTGTAAGGACTAGACTTTGCTCTCATCAACACATCTAGGAAATTAACTAAAGGGCTAATTGATTTAATCAATTAAAGAAAATGCCAGATTATAATCACCTAGTATATAGAATTAACAGAGGAGCTAGTAGCTACTTTAGATTTGGGTGGCCTCTGGGTTGGTGGCATTTTAACTGGGACCTGAAGGTGAGTAAGAAATGAACCAACCCCACAAAGATTTGGGATGTGGTTTGGATGTTACACATAAAGAGGAGAAAAAAAAAAGAGTCAGAGAAGATGCTAGGGTTTTGTTCAGAGCATCTTGCTAAATCATGCACCACTGACCAAGCCAGCGAAGAGCAGAGGATGCCAGGCCTCCTGTCTGAGGAGCTGTGTTGAGTGGAAGTCGGGCCTCTGTCTGAGGAGCTGTGTTGAGTGGAAGCCGGGCCCCCGTCTGAGGAGCTGTGTTGAGTGGAAGCCGGGCCTCTGTCTGAGGAGCTGTGTTGAGTGGAAGTCGGACCTCCGTCTGAGGAGCTGTGTTGAGTGGAAGTCGGGCCTCTGTCTGAGGAGCTGTGTTGAGTAGACACTGGGCCTCCATCTGAGGAGCTGTGTTGAGTGGCACACTGCTGCTTTGGGAAGTGTGAGTCAGTTAGAAGATTCCTCCTCACTTTTATGTTGGAGATAGCTTGTTTCAGTCTGCCTTAAGCTTTAAGTGTCATATTCAGGTCAGATGCATTCTTTGTTCCTGCATGTATTGATCATCATCATACAGTTTGACTGTATGCTTTGGGACTAGTGCCTTTTGATTTGTTTTCTTTCCTATTTTTTTTTCCTGTTTTTTGCTATACTATGCTTTACTCTTCTGAGTTACTCTGGTGATAACCTATGTAATTATTTCAGTTCAGAGATGCTAGTTGTTTTCTTTTTTTGTTGGTTTTTTTTTATTGTTTTTTTTTTTTTTTTTTGCTTTTCAAGACAGGGTTTCTAAGCCGGGCAGTGGTAGCACATGCCTTTAATCCCAGCACTTGGGAGGCAGAGGCAGGTGGATTTCTGAGTTAGAGGCCAGCCTGGTGAGTTCCAGGACAGCCAGGGCTACACAAAGAAACCCTGTCTCAAAAAACCAAAAAAAAAAAAAAAAAAAAAGACAGTTTATATATGATTATATAAATACATAGTATTCATATATAGTATATATATATATATATATATATATATATATGATCTGTATACATACATATACATACACATATGCACATGCTAGTGCTGCCCCCAGAGGCCAGAAAAGAGGGTCCTATCCCCTGGTACTAGAATTACAGACAGCTGTCATGAGAGTGCTGGGAATGAACTCAGGACCTCTGGAAGAGCAGTCAGAGCTATCTCTCCAGCCCCCCCCACCACCACCAAGCTTTTAATCTACTAAGAGTTTTATCTGTTACTGATCCTATGACCACCTCATCTGGAAGTAAAGACCTCCCCAGCACTGAACATTAACTTTCCATGTGAGTGGGTGTGTGCATGGGTACATGCACACACACATTCTGTATAGGTTTGCCTAGCTTATGTAGAATTAACCATTTAAGAGAAGGTCTGGGTGAAATCCACAATCACATTTTCATCAGACCAGAGTCAACACCCCCCCCCTTTTTTTTTTTTTTTTTTTTTACTTTTTAGAGCAAAGAGATCCACATTCAGAGGTGGCGAACAACCTATGAACTGGCCTTGGAAGCTGGGGAAAAGTTGCGGGACACACCCAACCCGGAAACTAGAGAATTCATCCACAGGCAAACCAGCAGGCTTCAGGACACCTGGAAGGACACTGAGCTCAGGCTGGGACAGATGATCAGCCGGCTTCAGACCACTGCAGAGGTGAGTGGGCGCCACTGCCATATTCTGCATGTGGCTTTTGTTGGCTCTGGGACAGGAGGAGTGGCTTTTTAAAAATCCTATATTCTGAGTTTTCTAATGAAAGTCAATTCCTACTAATATACAAGTCATGCCTGTTAGCACCATTTATAAAATAATAACTGCATGGGGAAACTGAGTATTGCAAACATAAACACTTGAGATGCTATGACAATACTTACTTTGGGTCAGTGGGATGGCTCAGTGGGTAAAGGCACTTGCTGCCAAGCCTGCAACCTGAGTTCAATCCCAGGAACCCACATAGTGGAAAGAGAGAACCAGCTCTTACAAAATGTCCTGTCATGTGCTATGGCATACCTATACCCACACAGCCAAGTGTACTAAATAAATAAGCAAATAATAACTGTTAAAGGCGAGGTTGTGAAAGATGAAACATTGAAATCCACTGGATGTTCAGTACATGAAACTGACGTTGCACTTCCGCTCTGCCTGGGGTATAACACATGAAAATAAGCACAGCATGCTGTGGGCCTCTGTCTCATCAGGGAACACATTTGACCACATATGCGAGTCTCTTGGGGAATTGCTCACTGTGTGGTTAAGAACTGAACTGGGTCATTAGTAGAATATTCTTGGTTTTGTTTTTGTTTTATTTTGTCCATGTTGTTCTCAAGGACTAAACTGTTTTTAAACTTACAACCCAAGAAACCCTTGGGTTTTCTTTTTTTTTTTAATTATTATTTATTTGTCTTATGTATATGGGTACACTGTCTTCAGACACACCAGAAGAGGGCATCAGATCCCATTACAGATGGTTGTGAGCACCATCTGGTTGCTGGGAATTGAACTCAGGAACTTTGGAAGAGCAGTTAGTGTTCTAAATAACTGAGCCATCTCTCCAGCCTGCTCTTGATTTTCAAATGCAGTTTTTATTTTTGTTTCACTTGTCAGAATACTAAGCTATGTTTGTTTTGATTCATTTCTATGCTTATTTCTGACATTCCTCTCGTCTGTTGTGTGCACCAAAAACAGATACCCAAACTACTCAGGGAAAGTCTTCTAAAGCAAGAGTAATTTGTGTGAGTTGGTCAGAGCACTGTGCTATAAACAAAGTATTGTGGGGCAAGTGGAACCGTGCCACCAGACAGAACTGGCAAGGTCGAAGCAGATTCAAAAACCCTGGTAAATCTCATAATTGAGAACAGTAGGTCTTAGAATCAGCTCCCAACCAGACTACCTGACCTGGAATACATGACCACAACAACCACTAAAAGGACCATGACAACCGGTCACTGTGGCATAAAAACCTAGAGTTCTCCACGGTAATAATGTATCTAGATAGGCCCCAAGTATTTGGCCAGTGAGCTTTCCTTCCTGGGCATCCCTTCCTGCAAAAGGTAGTTAAATCCCCAATTCACCCTGAGTAAGATGTATGCATTCACATCCACCATGAATAAGACAGTTTGGACAAGTAAGGACTGTCTCCTTCATCAGGGATCTCAGTCGGAAGGAGGGATGGCCTTCGTTGTAAAGAGCCTCCCCTAGGTCTCTCATAGAAGGTCCCTCTTCCAGACCCTCCATACATTGGCACTCACTCGGAGCTAAACTGGATTTTGCCCCAACCTCAGACTTGGGTTCTCAACTCCTCGTCTCTGAGTGCGCCAGAGTTTGAGAACCATAGCAGATTTCGCTGTTTCTTACCCGGAAGAACATGGACTGGGGCCCCTAGCCTATACTGCTTTCTGCCTTCCTTGAGCGACACTCCGGCAGTGCTCCAGTTCCCAGCAGCAAGGCAGACATGCAGCCTGTTACTCCTGCATTTTGTCCCCCAGCAGCGAGGCAGAAACACTGACTGACAGAGCACCTGAGTTTTCTTGTACAGACTATGTGAAATGCGGAAGCTAGCAGACACAGCTAAGCCTCAGCCCTGTGGCTGGAGCATGGCATAAGTGAGCACTAAGGTAGAAGAACTTGCACTCAGCAGGGTGCTTCTCTCTTTTCCTTTCCTAGCTGAGCTCCAGATAGTTGTTACTGTTAATATTTGAATCGGCAGCACCCGCTCTGGCTTGTTTACAGAGCTGCCATGTTCCCAACTAGCCTAGGCCTGAGACCATGAACAGCTGCAATGTATTCTCGATGCTGCTTGGCTCAGGCCCCGGCTCAGGTGGCCAGAGACACCGACCCTGCCACCCAGGAGATGCTGTCTCCACAAGGCTGGGCTTTGCCCAGACCATCCCGCCATCCACGAGATACCGGGTAGAAATAAGACTCTAATGTTTAAAGATTAACCAAAGGCTTTATAAGTTTGATAATGCTCAATTAACAAGATGCCCACACAATTGGAAGTGTTAACCAACTAACCTAGGTTAACTAACCTAGATATAAGTTGTTACCCAGGACTGCTCTCGGTACATGCGTAGTCATCCATGGCTCCTACATCTCTCCCTCCTTAGCTCCTCCTCTTCCTCCTCCTCTTCCTCTCCTTACTCCTCCTCTTCCCCTCCTTACTCCTCCCACCTTAGCTTTTCCCAACTTTTGGGAAAAATTTCCCACTACAGATAGTTGTTCAGGATCTTCCCTTAGGAAGGTTATAACCCTTGACTGGGGCCACCTTAATAATGCTTAGGGTCAGTACTAAAGACTAGAATGATCTATTACTGTATGTTTATATACTTTTAGTGAGTTCAGAAATAGAAATTTACCCTAGTGAATCAGATCTGAACACCACAAACACGAAAATCCAGGCACGTATTGGCTGGGTTACATACGGAAGAGAGATGCTTGTCTCTTACCTAAGTCTCTTAACTTCCCATCTGTGAGCTAACGGATATTCTCCAAGCCCCATGTTTTAAAATGTGTCGGTCAGTATTCTGTGTCTTAAGGTTCTACAACTGCAGTGACTTGGTAAAAGCTTGGAAACTCTTTGCAGGTGGAGGGAGGCGCTACAGTGTGAAGGGAACCAGACATTAGGAGAGGCCTGACTCTGCCACTGGGACACACACTTGAGGTGTAGATGTTGAAAGTCCATCTTCACGGTAGCCCTTCAGATGTGGATGTATACAAAACAGAATAGAGACATGGAGACAGGGACAGGAAAAAAGACCTCCCCAAACCAATCCATACCGGTAATTGACATGTACTGATGTCCCATGTGCCCCTTCAGGTCAGTCTGTAGGAGATGAGGAATTGTTTTCTGTGTGGCTCATCCAAACATGCTTAAAAGAAAGTGCGTGTGCATTAAATGAGCTGGCCTAGTGTGTAGTTTGGTCTGGAAAACCATGTACTCACCAAATTTAATACTGTTTCCAAATAGACCTGGGACCAGTGTAAAAAGAAAATCAAGAAGCTGAAAAAAAGGCTGCAAGTTCTCAAAGCACAAAGCAGAGATCCCCTTCCTGAACTTCACGAGGCTCTCCATGAAGAAAAGGAGCTGATTAAGGTATTGACATCCGAGCCAGCAGCCAGGATAATCACACAGCTGCCTTGTGGGTGCTTCGAACACTTGCCTGCCTCTCTGTTTTTTGTGATCAAGATAAGTGTTCTGGTCAGCTGGAAGATTTTCCCTGTCCTCTGTCTAACATCCTTCTGGTCTCCTAAGGGGTTAGAATCGATGCTCCGTATGCTTCTTATGTAAAGATGAGAAAGGGCTTTTACAAAGCGGTACATTGTAGGCTCTTGGGGTAGTTCTCCTCCATGTTCTCTTTCTGTTTCTTCTCTGAATGTAAGACCTGGAGTCTGAAATTTTTTTTGATTGAATGTGTGTGTGTGTGTGTCTGTGTGTGTGTGTGTGTGTGTGTGTGTGTGTGTGTGTGTGTGTGGTATGGAGGTCTGAGTGTGTGTGTGGTATGGAGGTCTTTGCCCGACACCTTGTTTGAGGCAGGATTTCTCTTGTTCCCATACTAAGTACTCCAGGCTAGCTGGCTGGTGAGCTTCTCTGGGATTCTCCTATCTCTGCACCCCATCTTGCCATATCACTGTTGGAGTGCTGGGATTACAGGGATGTGCCACCTGACTGGCATGTGGGTCCAGGGATCTGAACTCAGGTCATGAGGCTTCCGCAGTAAGCACTTTTACCCACCAAGCTGTATCTCTGACACTGAGATTACTAAAAATCAAAAACAAAAAACAAAACCTGTTTATTCTCTGACCAAATGACCTTGCCTTTGAAGTGACTTAAAAACTCACTTTGGAAACCCATAAGAGTTGAGTTCTTTTGATTAAGTATTAGGCTTACAAAAACCCTCTAAACACTGCTCTGCCTACTTAGCAGAGGGTCTTGAATCGAAGATCTTTGCAGAAGGTGGGATTGAGCTGTAGACAGGAGCTAGGCTCACTGAGCTCCAGATCAGGGACCCTCATGTAGATTTCTTATCCATCTGTTTGGTGGTTAAGAGACATTTTGAAAATCTTTTGCAATGATCTTTTAACTTTTTCTCTTCATTCAATGACTAGGGATTGAACTGGAAAAAAAAAGTAGAAAGAAAGGAATGGTCTTGTACTGGAATCTGTGTCAGTAAAGTAGGATCTTTCTTCCTGTGCACGTTTTCTCTTTGTCATAAAAATTCCCTCCTGTACTTTAAAGGCATTACAAACAGCATAAGGTTGGGCATTGAAGGTCATCCCTGTAATGAATCCTAGCACTTGGGAGGCAGAGGCAGGAAGATCAGAAGTCAGTGTCATCCTTGACTACAAAGCAAGTTCTAGGCCAGCCTAGGTCAGGCGAGACCCTCTGTCAGAATTAACTAGTTAATGAAAATTAACAACATGACCGAGGGCTAAGGCTATATACTTCAGTGGCAGAGTGCTCACTTAGCCTGTACAAAGAAGGCTCTACTTAGCTTCCTCCCCAGAAGCAACAAGGAAACAAAAACATGATAAATGGTTATCATAGTTATCATCCAGGTAAAGAAATGAACGTTTCAGATTCCCTGTGTACTTGCCTTTCCGAGTGGTCTCTGCAGCCCTGGCCCTGCTGTCCTTCATACACTTATTTACTGTTTTGATCCATAGTTCTCTTGTGCTCAGTAGAATGATAGAATCTCAGCCTTCTGCTTCCAAACTCAAGTCAGCCCCATACTGTATAGCATGGGATGATAACCACATTTCCCCGCATAATTCAGCAACGTTGATTCCTCTTGCTGCTTCCTTCTCACTGCTGTTAGTATGCACCATATGAATCCAGCCAGTACGTCCTTCTCTAGAAATTGATCTTGTTAGATACTGTTCAACCTTTGTTAGTCTGGAGTGTAAGGTAGTGTCTCTGTAGTTTGTCTGTTCTTCCATCAGATCAGCCCTCTTGGGAACTGCCTGTTGCTCTTTCCCTTGACTCTTGTGTTTGGCTTTTGTGGCCTCCATTTGAACAAGTTGCTTGTTTATTCTTAATATATTGTCTCTCTAAGTACATACTTATGAATGTCTTCTATCAGACAGTTTATTCTTCTTTTCTTTCTTTTTTTTTTTTAATGTCACTGGGTAAGCAACAGATTTGTAGAAGTTTTGTTTTGGGTTTTGGTTTATGGTTTTGTTTTGATGTGTGTGTGTGTGTGTGTGTGTGTGTGTGTGTGTGTGTGTGTGTGTACATGCATGTACCTGTGTTTGAGAAAGGATTTTGCTTTGTAACCCATGCTGGTATTATCAAACTCTTAATCTTTCTGCCTCTACCTTGGGAGCTGGTATTGACAAGTATTTACCATCATTACCCAGTGATTTTGTGTGGCTTTAATATAGGCAAATATGTGAATTTTTTTAATGCAACTGTGCCCTCTTTTTCTTAGAAAGTCTCTATCTGTAACTCATAGAATACACTTTCATATCTTCTCCTAGATGTTTCCACATCTCCTAGATGGTTAGTGTTTAAAAGCACTGCTTTTTAAATCCACATCTTAGTTTGTTCTGGAATTAATGTTTGCATGTGTTTTAAATGAAACCCCATTTTAAAATGTTATTCCTGTAGATAACCATGTAGCTTCTTGGAGCCTGCTTAATAGACCCATGCCAGATATCAAATTAACATATAAACAAGATTTGCTCCTCAGTTTTCTTTTCTCCTTTGTTGGCTTTAATATCAAACTGCTATTAGCAGGCATCACAGTCTTGGGAGGTGAAGTAGAAAGATCGGGGATTAAGGCCAGTGTCAGCTGCATACGAAGTTTAAGGCCAGACTAGGCTATATCTGTCAGACCCCCGACCCTCGGTCAGTGGTACTTACTTCAAGACACCAAGATGCACTGTGATGCAAAGGAAGAGGTTCATTTTCCATAGCATCTGGATCAACCTTCAGTTACTCCCTCAAGATGAGTGACTAGAAGGCGACCACAAATGGCTATTACAAGCAGTTTGTATACGTTTTAGGGACACAGGTTACATCAGCAAGGTTACAGCTCAAACATATTGGCTAAGTATATTGACCTTTAAATCTGTTCGTTAGCAAGCATGGGCAGATCATGGCGTGCATTTGAATCTGGGTCTTTCCAGAGGGTCAGGTGACTATCAGTCGTACATTCTGCAAATTGTTTACTCAAGAATGTTCCTGTGGGTGGAGAATGGAACTTGGGCTAGCCTTGACCCCAGGCAGGAGGGGAAAGCTCTGTGTGTGTGTGTGTGTGTGTGTGTGTGTGTGTGTGTGTGTGTGTGTTGCGGGGTGGGGAGGTGGAATGTAGGATTGGTAAAAGCCCTTAGGTCCTTCACATCAAGTTTAGATCAAGATGCCAATAACAAAGTGAGAGAATCCAGTGTTACTCTCCATTGAAATGCTGGGGTTTTCTTCCATTAAGTCCAGAAGCCTGAGCTGACTGTGAAGTGTCCCATTTATCAGTGAAAACAGTCATGGCAGAGATCCACAAATTCATCCAACCAGTGACCAGATTCCAAAACAGATCCCAAGTAACTGGAAGCCTATCTGGGACAGTGGATACCGTCCCAGAAGAGTGTGTGACCCGCCCAACCTGTCTGAGCCTTCCTTTTCTCAGAAAGCTACATCCCATTATAGGCAAGTGCATTGGGAATAACAGCACACAGACACACACACACACACACGATACACACTCTCACCATAAACACACAAGTTGAGCATCCCTACTTCAAGAATCCCCCAAACTCTGACATAGAAAGCACTTCTGGTCCCAAGCATTTCGAGTCAGATATGGTCGGCCTGACATGTAATGTCCCTAGTATAAGGCTTTCATAGATTCCTGACTAGCATAGTCTCTGTCTATATCAGTGGTTCTACATTTGTGGGTTGTGACCTCTTTGGGGGTTGTCTGACCCTTTCACAGATATTGCCTAAGACCATTGAAAAAACACAGAAATTTACATTACAACTCATAACAGTAGCAAAATTATAGTTATGAAGCAGCAAAGAAAATAATTTTGTGGCTATGGGTCTCCACAGCATAAGGAACTGTATTCAAAGGTCACGGCACTAGGAAGGTTGAGAACCACTGATCTTTATACTATTATGAAAATTGCTACAGTGGACATCTGAGACTTGTTGAAAGATTAATTCATTAGAACCGTTCTAATTTTAAAATAAGTTTCGAATAATATAGGCGCATGGTTCAAAATTCAGAATGTACCTAAGATATATATTAAAATTTTTCTCCTATTCATTCCTTACCACAGGAATTGACGTGGCTAATTTGTTGAATATTCTTCCCAAGATAAGATATTCTGTCCATATACAAGCACATGCACGTGTATTCATTTTTTGCTCCCTTTCTGTGCATGTATGTATATACATCCGTGTATGTGTGCATGCCCTGACATGCATGTGCATGTGGAAACCAGAGGTCAGTGTCGGGTGTTATCTTCAATTGCTCTCCACTGGATTTGCTTGAGACAGGAGCTCTCAATGAACCTGAAGCTCACTGATCTAGCTGGGCTTGCAGGGTGGCAGGCCCAGGGATCCTCCTGTCTTTACCTTCCTTGTGTTGGGAGGCTTGCACCACCATGCCTGGCTTTTTCACATGGGTGTTGAGGATCCAAGCGTTTACCAAGCACCTACCCATCCCCTTTAGTTCAACTGGTAGTGCAGAAAAACAGAACTTAACAATCTCACTATGAACTAATACCACAGGAAAAGGCTTATGCTGACCTGTTGCTGTAGGGAATCCAGCTAAAGCCTGGTCATATACTGCTATGTACAAACAACTCGAAGTTTTACATCATGCTTTATATGGGTAACTGGAATCTTACAGGTAATTTTGCAATCAGACCACTTATCAGACTAAAGATAAAGGAAATTTATCTGGCTGACTTATTCTCTTTTGCCATCACTTTCTAGCAAATCTGGGGCATTTTAACTTAAAGGCAGTAAGTAGCATTCTTTGGTTGTGTGGATGAATGGTTTTTCCAAGGGAAGGCACCCAGAGCCCATTGTGTGCTAGGAAGTACTCTGCCACTAAGATACACTCCCAGATCTGAGCATGTTTCTGGAATGTTTCTACAGAAGTGATCATAGGCTGTAGTTAGCTCACATACTAGACCTCCCTGTGTAGTATTTGATTCCTTTGTTTGTCTTTCTCTTAACACTTAAGAACATTTTAAAGCTCTTAGCCCTGTGTGGTTGTATAAAATCTCTAATCCCAGTTTAGGAAGCTGAGGCAGGACTACAAGTTGGAAACCAGCCTAAGCTACATAGCAAGTACCAGGCCATTCAGTACTGCATAGTAAGACCCTGTCATTTGGTCGGGCAGTGGTGGCACACGCCTTTAATCCCAGCACTTGGGTGGCAGAAGCAGGCAGATTTCTGAGTTCGAGAGTTCGAGGCTAGCCTGGTCTACAGAGTGAGTTCCAGGACAGCCAGGGCTACACAGAGAAACCCTGTCTCGAACCCTCCTCCCCCCAAAAAAAGACCCTGTCATTTGCCCAACTTGCATGAAGTCCTGAGTTCAGTCCCCATTACTGCAAAACCTTAGAGATAGATAACAACAAAAAAAAGTTATTGGTACAAACTGACAAACTGCTTTCCTTTCACTCATACATTTTGATATCTAATAATTCAGTATGCACTAGGCATGTGACAGGTGCCATGATAAAACACCATGGCACAAAGCAACTTGAGAAGAAAAGGGTGTATTTCAGAAGCAGTGTTGTCCTGGTCACTGCATTCTGTCAGTACAGTCTGTTGGAGAGATACATGCTAACCACATAGCTATGTTGTATGCATGTGTATGGGGTATGTATGTGTGTGTGTATGTGTGTTTACACGAGCGTTCGTGAATGCATTCATTGCAGAGACAAAAGAAGAGGAACAATGAGTCCATAAAGCAGGGGTCCCAGGCTGGGGAACTAGCTCCCTAAGCTTCGTGGTTGAATGCTTGGGATTAAAGGTGTATATGACTGTACCTGGCCATTTTTATGTAAACTTTGAAAGTTTCCTCTGGACCATTTTATGAAACACGGTGAGTTTAGCAAGTTAAGAAATCACATCACTCTTGCTTTTAGAACAATGAAAAAAATATCAGTGGGAATTAGTGCCTCATTACTGTAGCTGCTCTCTGAAGACTGATCTCTGGTGTAAATGATACAGTATCTTCTTTCAGATTTCATCTGAAGGGCGGGAACAGAGGCCTGGAAAATGAACCGTACATAAGGAACCCTAAATACAACTAAAACCTAATAGACTCTGGGGTCCCTTTCACTTCCCTCTGTAGTGAAAAAAAATTGTTTTTATTACTTGGTACATTTCACTGGATCTGAAAACTACTTCATTTTGAAAACTAATTGAAGCCGATATACATAGCTCAGTGGTATGGTCTTTGCATTGAATGTGAGGCCCTAGGTTCAATCTCCCACACATGAATAAATGAATGAATGAATGAATGAATGATAAATACAGGAAGCTATCTGCTAATTTAATCACTGCCAGTTATCAGCGAGCAATTTCCACTCCATTATATTCATTTATTTAGAAAATCAAAAATAACTCCTTCCAAACAAAACAAAAGCTGTCATTTAGTGATGGCCAGCCACAGTGTTAGTGGTATACCCAGGCCTTTTGAAAGTGAGAGGTCACGCTTTATATGACTTCTTAACATAGTTTCTGGGTCTTAATCCAGAAATGTGTGGACAGTTTGCTTTTCTTACATTACATATGGTGTGCCCTCTAAGAATGGTAAAGGGCCTGGATGGGTGTCCAACAGAATGACTTCATTAAACTCCAGCTACCTGAGGGAATGAGCTGAAAGAGAGCAAAGACTGTCCCCTTGAGAGAAAGGTGACTGGAGGCAGCCAGGCAGGGCTGCGGGAGCGGCTGTTTCTCATTCCGAAGGTCCCTCCCCTTCCCAGGCTCCCCTCCCCCAGAGTCTAATCAAAGGATTAGCCTACAGGTTTGGAAACAACAGCAGCTGGAGTTGAAGGCATTTTCCCCTTTCTCCTCGTCTTTAAATGCAGGAAGTAGAGAAGTCCCTGGCTAACTGTACGCACAACTTAAAAGAACTTCAAACTATGAAGGCTGACTTGAGCCAGCACATCCTGCCGGAGGACGTGACGGTTCTGAAGAAGCAGATCGAGCTTTTGCACAGACAATGGGAGGACCTCTGTCTGAGAGTAAGTCAGTCAGCTGCCTGTGGGGCTGGGGGAGGTTGATAGAAACATCCCAAGGCCAAAGGAAGGGGTCCTGACTTGGCTGAAGCAGGGGCCCTTTGGCTCTGGGACCCCTGAGCCTCTGCTGGTTCCTTTAGGAGGCAGCAGCTTTTTAATAGATTGACCTCTTTGTTTTAACAGAGTTCACTGTGCAACTTTGCACACTTCCTCTGAGTTGGTTTTGTTTGTTTGCTTGCTTGGTTGGTTTTGTTTTTTTAAGATCACCTTAAGCTGGGATGGAAGCAAGGGTCATGCTTGTGAGAACTATACTTCTTGGCTTGCTTAGAGAAGTACCACCAGTCTGCATGTTAGGAGAGATCTCTCTGACCCCCTGTGTATCGCTCCTCTGCTAAACACCGGAGCTCTGATGCCCAAGGCATGGAAGCAGTTATCTGAGAACCAGGCTTCCTGCCTTCAGATAGTTAGTCCTCAGAGCCGTTTACACTCTGAAGTGATTACAGCCTAATGACCTCAGCAGATCACTTGTACCGGATAAGAATGGAATTGTGTATAGCATCTTGAACAGTTCAAGTCTCTGAGACAGGATATCAAGGTGGAATTAAAGGGTTCAGTTAATCTTAAAGACCCTTGTTTTAAGGATATATAATTCTCAGGAAAAGTTAATTCCTTAATCTCATTATTTTTTTGTATTGATGAATTTTGACATCTGTAAATACCTGTGTTCTAAAGACACTTTTAATTAGATTTTGAAGTAAATAATATACTTTACAAAAACCTTGGTTCTTAGTAGTTACAATGTAATCTAAGTGTCTTTTAGATTGTTCTAAGTCCTGTTTTCTGTCAAAGAAAATACTCGGAATCCTGAAAAGTCTTGTGAGAGTTAGGGAGGACTCAAAGGGTACACCCAGATGGTCCCACTGTGGACTCAATCCTGGCACACAATACCAGGAGTTTTAAAAACGAAAATAAACAGATTTCTGGAGAAATGGGAGCAAAATGCTTGTTTTTCTAAGGATAGATTTTTCAGGCCTTTTAAATACATTTGGCTGGGCGGGACACAGGAGCATTTGGTATCTTGACCTCACTCTGGGACGAGCAGAAGTTCTTTTGTACAGGGTGAGAAAAAAAAAATCTCAGGAGAGTTCAGCCGCTTCATCCCCTTTCTATAGAGTGGAGTGCTAAACTCTGGAAGAACTCGTAGTTTCTCCATTTTACACTACCCCGTTTAAGATTTCAGTGATTTTTCAAAAACTGAGAATAGGTATACATTTAGAAAGGCTGGTTTGAATTATCTAGAATTAATTGCTAAACAGTAGCCCTCTGAGGAGGGAGGGAAGCCCCTTTCCTGACGTTAGCATAATAGAACACTGGGCATATGGGGGTCAGCCTGCTTGCTCCAGACCAATTTTTGGTGACATTTTCATAGTTTCCAGACAAAAACTACAGTGTGTAATGACAAAATAAATTAAATGAATTGTTTTGGAATTTGGTGTTTTTGTTTGTTATTTTGTTTTGTTTAAATACTCAAAAAAACCCCGTTTTTTACTACTTTTGAGGTTTCCGGTTCATTTGCATTACTAATGAATGACTGGGTGGTTTTGTTTTTTGTTGTTTTATTTTTAATCTTGTATCTGGATTTAAAGAAGTTAATCTTTAAAATAAGTAAGCAGGACATTGCCTTCTGGATATAAAGACTTGATGAGTTTCGGAAGGGACGAGCTTTGGGTCACAGAAGTTAGAAGATATCTCGGAGGGATCAGTAAATGTAAATATTGAAAGAACAAGAGAAAGACAAACGGAAGCTGAGCCATGACTGAGTCTGTATTCACCTTAACCTCTCTGGCTTAGGCTTGATGTCGGTCAATACAGAGCCAAAGCTGTCACTTTGTCCTTTGTCAGTTTTTATGGCCATCATCATGGGTGGAAAAAACTTTTGTTAATGCTAAGTCTGAGGTTTTAAGAAAAGGAAATAGGTTTTAGGGCTACTGACAAAAGTTAATGGCCTTGTGTTCGTTTGTTCGTGTGAAAGGTGTGACAAAAGTTAATGGTGAAAGGTGTGGGGGTGGAGCCTAGAGTGGGGGTGCTCTTGGGTTTGGAGAGCCAAGGGGTTTTCCTCCCCCCCCCCCAATCCTCAGCTGCCCAATCCATGTCATACCTAGGTGGCTATCCGCAAGCAGGAGATTGAAGACAGGCTCAATTCATGGATCGTGTTCAATGAAAAAAATAAAGAACTGTGTGCTTGGCTGGTCCAGATGGAAAACAAAGTTCTACAGACAGCGGATGTCAGCATTGAAGAAATGATTGAAAAGTTACAGAAGGTGAGTGGGGGTGGGGTGCCCTGTGGATGCAATGGCGGACGCCTATGGGCTTCTGCAGGGCTCCAGGGCCTACAGTGTCACTGGTGTTTCTAACGGCAGTGCACGTGTTTCAGGGGACTATTGACTTTTCCAAAGGAGGAGCTGGCAGAGATAGAAAGTGTGAGCCTGTCATAGATGGATACAGCACTGAGGCAGAGCTGCTTCCCCTTAGTCGGGAAGTCAGCCAGTGCTGGGATCTAGTGAGGGTTTAGTAGAACCTGAGTCAGAGAGGACGCCTGCAGCAACGAGGCTCACAGAGGTCAGTCGAGCATCGCTGTACAGTCACCCAAAACACCTCTCCAAAAACCCTGGGAAAACTGACCTCAGGCTGACTTCAGTCAGATCTGTCTAGCCTCAGCTCCACAATTGTGATGTGCAACTGAAGGGTTGTTCATTAAGGAAGAACCTGAGGGGGCTGGGATATAGCCCAGGCGCTAGAGTTCTTGCTCTGCATGCATAAAGCCCTGAGTTCAATCCTCGGCACTGCAAGGATAAGGAATAGGCAAATTCCTACAGCCAGGCATGGAAACACATGCCTACCCCAGCACTCAGGAGCTGAGACAGGAGCGCCGTGAGCTGCAGGCCTGGGCTACGGAGTCAGAGAACGTCATTACTGTATTAAACACTTCATAGTCACCCAGCTGGTATAGCCATTCCTTGAAGAACTGTATACTGACAAGTATACAGTTTTGTTTTGTTTTCCAATTAAAACTAATGTAGCCAGGGCTGGAGATGATTCAGTGGTTAAGAGCACTTGCTGTTCTTCCAAAGGACCCAGGTTGAATTCCCAGGACCCACATGGCAGCTCACAACTGTCTGTAACTCCTGTTCTAGGAGACCTGACACCCTCTCACATTGGAAAAACACCAATGTACCTAAAATTAAATAAATAAATAAGCTAACATAGGCAACATGGTAGTACACGCTTGCAATCCCATCACCAGGGTGCCTGAGGCAGGAGTATTGCCTGGAGTTTAGTATCAGCCTAGACAACAGTGTGAGACCCCATCTGAGAAAATAAAAACAAAACAGAAAGCTGCGTTAAGAGAGAACTGTGCCCTTGGCTGGAGATGGGCCGGCCTGGTGGTGATGGCTCTGGCCTTGTGCTTTGGTGCCCGTCAGGACTGTATGGAAGAAATCAGCTTGTTCACAGAAAACAAGCTCCAGCTGAAGCAGATGGGCGACCAGCTGATCAAGGCCAGCGGCAAGGCCAAGGCGGCCGAGATGGAGGAGAAGCTCAGCAAGATCAACGACCGCTGGCAGCATCTTTTCGACGTCATCGGATCAAGGTAAGGACTGGCTAGGATAATTTACCCCTAGAGATTTCCTCACAGAGCTGGTGAACTGAGTCTGGCCTTCCTGTGAGGTAACCTGGCAGGTGATAAGCATGCAGATTTGCAGTTGAGGGGAGACGAGGCGGAATTCTACTTTGAACAATAAATGGAAATGATATTTGAGCAAAAGTTGAAATGAATTAGGGATGTGTGTGTGTTGTTGTTGTTTGTTTGTTTGTTTGTTTTGTTTTTCGAGACAAGGTTTCTCCGTGTAGCCCTGGCTATCCTGGAACTCACTCTGTAGACCAGGCTGGCCTTGAACTCAGAAATCCACCTGCCTCTGCCTCCCAAGTGCTGGGACTAAAGGCGTGCACTACCACTTCCTGGCTTGTGTATGTTGTTTGTGATGCAAAGGATTAAACTCAGCCTCACATGCTAGACAGGTATTCTACCACCAAGTTACTGTTTGATTGCTGCTGCTGTTGTTATTGCTATTATTATTGTCGAGCATGGGGTCTGGCTAAGTTCCCCAGGCTGGCCTTGAACCAGTCTTCCATCCTCTGCCTCCCAAGTAGTGAGAGCTACAAGCACTTGGATTTGTTTTAAACAAGAGTTGGAAACTTAGTTCGAAAGAGACCCTAAAGGGGAGTTCTCCTTCAGAAACTGTCAACCCATGCTAGAATTAATGTGTCCCCCATGAAATTACGCCTGCCTATTCCTGCCTCACTCTGTGTAGTAACAGCTGGGAGCCCTTGACTATACCCACAACAGGGGTCCAGTGCCAAGTAAGAGTCCTTTGTAACCAGGTCCTTGATGGGTACCTGGTCTACTGGAGAATACAACTTTGGGTCAGGCCTACCTGGCTATTGCCAGGTAACTGTGGGGTGGAGCATACCTGGCTGTTGGCCAGGTAACTGTGGAGGTGGAGTTTAGACAGAATACTAACATTCCTCCATTTTGGTTTAATTAAAAAGAAAAATTAGAAAGAGGTAATGGCAAAGCAGGAATAGGGTTGTTGTGATATCTGGCTACTTCCTGCTGGCATTGGGGGTGACATGTCTCTAGGGAACCCAGAAGAATGGGTATGGGGGATGTTTGTCCAGTCTTAGGAGAGTTGGCTGTTTCCTGCTGTCCAGGGTCTATGGAGCCATCTAAGGATAGGCCAGAAGGAACAGGTCCAGTAGAAGCAGCTGTGTGTGTGACAGGAGATGAAGCATCTGGAGGTTGCTTCTCTGAAGCTGTTCTGGATGTGCCTGGACTTGACACGATGTAGGGAATAAGATTAAGTACATTTGGGAGAAAGAAAATTTTTTCTAAGATGTACATTTGAAACCCAGAGGGATCCCACCCTTTGTAATAGGTAGTAAGTGGGAGCTTTAGACAGATGTACTTATCTGGATCGCATCTATTTGGTCTGTCAGAGGTAGATCTGAGTGGGTTTCCTGTAGCTTATAAGTTTACAAAAGAGATAACAGCATGAGTTAACATGAGCAGTCTTTAAGATGAACCTTTGCTGGGTCGTATAGTGGAATGTTTTATTAGAGTTAGGCAAGTTTATAGGAACTCAGATAATATTAGGACAGTGGCATAGCAAGAAGAAAAAATATTAAGCATTTAATTGATGGCAACTGAGTTTAGGTAATGAGGTGACAGATAATATCTGTGAAAGCTTAGCTGTCAATGTAGTCAGAAGTCTGAGAAAGAGAAAACAGTATCTACCAGTTATATATTATTTTTAAAAATGACAGAGTCCACTAGCCAACAAGCATATCCTCAGGTGTGACCACAAAGCTCTGTTCTCCAGTGCAATTTTGTCCTAAAGAGAGCTAGGAATATTATCTCCCATCTAACAATGGTAACACCCAAAGTTTGTAGATGGTTTCCGCCAACACCCTCCCCCCCCCCCCCCACCCCACCCCACCCCTCCCCGACCACATGTTTTCCTATTGCAACCTGGTTTCCCGAGATGTCTGCTTTGGGATCATGATCACTCGTGTCACATTGTCTGCCAGTGCCAAGCACGCTTCACAGGACAGTGTGTTCAGGTGTGAACATGAATATTATCTGGAGTTTACAGGAGAGACGGTTAAGATTCGGAGATAAGAATAGAATGGTGTTGGTGACTAATGATGCGGCGTGTCCTTTACCTCACTGACCACTGGAAACCGTAAGTGAACCTGATTCAGTCAGCAGAGGCAATGGCCAGGTGGTGTGAGCGCGGCAGGAAGTAAGAGGAGCCGGTTACGTTAGTGGGAGTGCATGTCTGGCAGCGGTAGAGCCAAGCATATGCGGAGTCCAGATCCTGTCTTCTGAGGGTGGAGGCCATGAGAGACCTGCCACCCAGATGGCCTTGAGCGAAGGTTTGGAACTCCTGATGACCGCTGCAGGCAATGGGAGAGACCCTTTCTCATAAAAACAGGCATGACATGGACCAGGAGAAAAGGAGAAAAGCCGCCCAGAAAGAGACGAGCAGCCCCATTGGCTCACACATAAGAAATGACACTAGGAGAGATCGAGGCTTTGATTGTCACCCACAGACTTGGCCTCCTAGGTAAAGCCTGAGTCCATCATGGTCTCTTAGTGGTGACAAAGTTCCTGATGAAAGATCCCAGGGAACTGGCTGGAGGAAGAGCTGGGCTAAAGGCAGCTTCTCTCAATAAGCGTTTGAAAAGGAAACACACAGAAACTTAGGACAGAAGCTAGGCTTAAGTGTTGAGCCTTCCCCAGCTTTCCTTTTTATTCATTGTAAAAAGTTGACTATGTGATTTTTACTTTTCTAAGCCAGTTTTCAAGTCTTCCAGATGTGTCCAGCAGCAGATCCAAATCTGCTACACACCATTCACATACATGACAGGTGTCGCTCACTTGACTCAGGGTCAAGAAAAGCACAGAGAAGCCCGTTTGTGAACTAGTTTGTGAACTAGTATGGTTTTCATGGTGAAGTAGAAGCAGATTCTCCTGGTTATATCAAGGAAAGTGTGGTCCTTCCTCCATGCAGTCAGGGATTTATAAAATTATTCCCATGGTTGGACAGGCAGGGTGGCTCATGGGATAAAACACTTGTCATGTGAGCCTGATGATCTGAGCTTGAGCCCCAGAAGCCAACCAGAGGTAGAAGGACAGAATTGACACCACTAATTTGTCCTCTGATCTCTACATCAGTGATGTGGCATATGTGTGCGCTCTCTCTCTCTCTCTCTCTCTCTCTCTCTCTCTCTCTCTCTCTCTC